TTAGATTATAGAATTTTGTATTTAGAGGACCATTGATATGTATTGATGATTATGAGATTCAAAACTATATCATAAATGTTTGTCTGTATAAAGTTTCATTTCTTTCATATCATTTTGCTCCTGAAAATTTATCCCTATAGAACAACAATATAATATAGTGTTAGTGATTCACATGGTATTAGAACTAGTCGAATTCTTAGCTTTAATACTATTTGTTAAGAAGCAAGAAAGATTTGATACCACTTCGGAAAAAAAGAAGAAGAAGACAAAAACAAATTTAAGGAGAAAAATTTATATCTATATTTGCAATCATCAATAAGCAAAATTTCAATAATTTCGATAAAATTTAATTAAGCAATAATTTGTTAATTTAAAAAATCTGGCAGAATCTCCATTAAAATCATAAATCCCAAAATTACAATATTTAATGGAAAAATCTCATATAAATACTATCAAAATTCTAAAATTCCAAATCAGTGACTTCAATTCTACAAATGCTAAATTAAACTCCAGGTATGAAATTAGTATTTGAGAATGTTGTTAAATTACCATCTTGACCCTCTCTTCTTATGTTGCTAACACTCTCTTTCACCTCACATTCTCACTGGTCTCCTCTGTATCATTCCAAGCGGAGGTATTACATTAAATATTAGTAACTACCTTATTACAATTCAGTTTCCAATATTTCCTCCATCACGATTGGGCCCGACCTCACAAATAATTTCAAGAGTAGTAGGCAACCATCTTAATGAGATTGTTACTACCATTATTGTCTTTCACATCATCATTGCCGATGTTCTTGGCGGCCTTCCCACCAGCTTCTTTGTTGTTCCTAAACGATGTCGTCTCTTCTATGTGGTACCCATGCCGTCATTAGCGCTCTTGGCAGATTGCTCATGAGGACCATCGTAGCGCTTTGAGTAGACATGCAAGATATGGTTGCGGGAGAGAAGGTAGTCCATGGAGAGGATGCTTTTGCGTTGTGGAGTAGTGCTAAGGCCAGAAGAGCTTAGAATCTAATACCTTGTTTAGATTTATAAAAAAAGAGGAAAGGGGAGAAGTTTTAATATTACCTTGTTTGGTTCATGAGGGGAGGGGAAAGAAAAATATTTTGACATAGACAATTTTGCTCTTATTTTATTTAAAATTATTTTTTCAAATTTTATACAATGTTTAATAAAATAGAATTGTAAATAACATTTAATATATTGAGCAATACTTATACTAAAATTTTAATATACTCTAGAGCGTGAAATATTATTAAAAAGAAGACTGAAGTAATATTCAGCCACAACTTGTACTGTATCCCATCTTTGAATGAAATATTTGGTCATACAAAGGAGAAAGCAACGTCTAGAGACAAGACGAAAAGGATTTAGAGTAGTATAGAGATATTAAAAATAAATAAGGGTATAATGGTCACAATATGAAAAAATATTACCCTTTCCCTCCAAATCCTCCCAATTTTGGAGGGGAGGGGAGGGAAAATTTTATTCTAAAATTTGTGTGTTGTCAAACAAGAGCAAATGATTAAAATCTTTTCCCCTCCCTCTCCTCCCGTCCAAATCTCTTATACCAAACACATCCTAAAGCGCAATAAAGTTTTTGATGCCTAAAGACTATTCATCCTCTGCCTCCAAGTCAATGAACACAATTCAAATATAATGGTCTAACACATGCGATTTGGAGAAGTACAATTTCAGGTTTTGGGAACGTGCAAGTGAGAATATCCAAATTTAAATTGAATTCTCTGAAAAGGAATGAACCCAATTACTCCACGTTACTATATTTTAGATTGATGTACCAAATTCAATTTTGTTGGGAACATTGGCAACTTGTCTGAATAGATTAACAATACTTTTATATGTATTGACAATAAGTAATCAGAAAAATTCATTATAATTTTGTTAAACATGTTGACAATTCTTTCAAATAGATTAATAACACTTTTATATGTATTAACAAGTAATCGAAAAAATTCATTATAACTTTATTAGATACATTGACAATTCTTTTTAAATAGATTGACAACGATCTTATGTACTGACAACAGGTAATCATGAAAATTTGTTATAGGGCAAACCAATTAGCGAATTTAGGCAAATTACATGCTACCAATTAATTAGGGTCATTGACAACTCTTACAAATAAACTGAGAACAATTTCATATATATATATTAACAATAAGTAATCAATATGATTCATTACAAGACAAACTTATTGGAAAACTTAGGCAAATCACATGTTGCCCTTTTGTTAAGCCTGTTGACAACTCTTTCATATCGATTGATAATTCCTTTATATAAATGGACTATACTAACTTGCCTTCTATATTGTCTTTCTTTTTGTCAATTTATCAATGACAAACTTGTCTCTTATCAACATTTAGAAATACCAAATCAGTACTCTTATTTTGATATGGGTTTTTACTTTTCAACAACACTTATCTGAGATTTTATATTTAAGGGTATTTTTCTGTCTTTTTCTCATATTTAGTCAAGAAAATTTGTATATAGATCTTTTCTAAATATCTTCTTGTTGGATTGGACGATAAATGGCCTGTTGGTAGAAAGCATGTACCGGCTTCTACTCTGCAATTTTTTGCTGGATATAAATGCTTAATATGCTAATTAGGTGTTCACTCTTTGTTCCCAAAATACTATGGCGATTTCTTTTGAATCCGGACCGCATCTTTTATTTAAAAAATCAAGCTCTTTTTATTTCATTTATAATCAATATTATTATTTATGAAAATTTTATTAATATACGAAAACATGATATGGCAGGTTATTTCTCTAATATGTCTAACCGGGGAGTTGGTTTTTATTCTAAATAGAAGACTTTTATCCTACATTTATCATTTTTTCCTAAACTATTCCTATTGAACAGGTATTTAATAATGCAATCATATATCCTGTGAAGTGAGTAATGCTTGCTACAGTAGAGAATTTAACTGATGCCACATATAGAAAAATTATACTATTTTCTAATAAAAATTTAGAACATTTAAAAAAAAAATTCTCATGCGGGTATTCATTCAAAGTGGTAGGATTTTTTCTTCTAACATAATATTTCAATAAAATGTGAATCTCATTGTTTTTTTTTCGGTGGCTGAAAAAATGTAAGCTTCCATTTATATTTTACCCAACCAAGTAGATTTTTACTTAATTAAAAAAATTCATTTCTGGAAAAAAATAAAAATAATAAAACTAGTGAAATTTTACAAATTAAAAATTCACTCTAACACGGTAACCAAATATTCTGAATCCATAAAAAGTTCATTTGTAATTTTAAAAAAAATTCTATAAAGCAGCATCAAACTTATAAAAGATGTAAATTTTGAGAAATTTAGTTTAAAACAAACATATTTAAAAAATCGTATTTATTATAATTTACTAATTTAATTATTTTCCCTAATTTAATTAAATTATTTAAATGATTCTCATATTAAAGTTGGGAAGAAGATTTAATTTATATTTATTTTTCTAGATCGGCATTTATGGTGACGAGTACGAAAGGATGCCTCTGGGGCTCAGCTCTAGAAAAAAATTCATAAATGATTGGATGCAACGGAAAATGTCACTGTGTGGAAAATGCTTATGTCAATTGTTAAATTTCTCATATTTATTTTATCAAAATTTTTAATTACTTATTTTAAAAGAAATACTATTAAATATCAAAATTTTAAAAATAGTTCAAGAAGCATTATTTCATAACATTAATATAAAAAATGAAATAATTATCATTTCAGAAGCTTGAAATTTTTTTAAAGTGATCTTGACGGAGCAAGAAAATTAAATATGAATGTTTAAGACGAAAAAGATGCCAAATATCTATATTATTTTTTGGTTAAATTTGTTTATCATGTCATACAAGCAGTGAAAAAAAAACCAAACCGAACCGGCCGGTTCAACCGGAAAACCGGTGAACCGGCCAGTGGTCCGGTCCGGTTAAAGCAATGAACCGGTCATAAAATGAACCGGCATCAACCCGGTCAAACCGGGATAAACCGGTGCAAACCGGCAAAAACCGGTATAAACCAGTGATGAACCGGTTTGAATGATATTTTGCTATTTATCTTATTTTTTCTTATTCAACTCCTAATATTTCAGTCACTATATATTTAAATGAATTTTAATAATAATTTTGGTATTAATAATTATTAATTTTAGTTATTAAGAAATCATAAAGATCAAAATCCTTAATGTTATTGTATTTTGTTTTAATTACAATCAAATTATTGTTGTATTTTCTTACATTTTGTTATTAGTGATTATTAATATTGCTATACTTTGTTATTTTTAATTAAATTTTATCATTTTAATGTGACCGGTTTGATCCCGGTTTGACCCCGATCTAACCCATTAACCCTTAAACCATTACCTTGACCGGTTTAGTGTCCGGTCCGGTTTTTTGTTCCTTGCATACAAGTAACATGTATAATTGTTTTTTTCGGGCATGATACATGTATAATTTTTGAATGATTTTTTTTTTTGCCAACAATTGTTGAATGACTATAATTCATGAATTAATAAATTAATACAATTCATTCATTAATATAAATAACGGGTATAAAAGATTACAAATGGTCTTATAATTAAATCAAAAGAAAATAATATCATTATTCCGTTATTGTTCCAAAATAAAACAATCTTCACCAGGAGGCCAAGATTGAAACAAAATGGATGATCTAGCAATAATTTTTCTTTTAATTGATTCTACTAGTTTAACTTCTTAACAATAAGCTTGCGAATTCAGCACTACATAATAAAGTGTGTATTACATCGATAAATTAATTTCACTTCTATTCTAATTATAAGTCACTTATGATGAGCTAATAATAAATACCTTTTATGAATTCTAAGAGTATTCAGAAGCTTAACAATAAGCCATAATTTAAGCCACGCTAAATTACAACTAAACCAGCACCAATTCAGTAGGAAAATATTTTTTTCCCAAAAAATTCACATTTAAAAACATCTCATTACAAATGTAATAGTCTAGTAACTTCTACCCCAGTATGTCCATACCTTAGCAGGCTTTCCTGAGGCAAAACACTTGGTACCTGAGCAAAAAAATAACCACAAGACAGTCGCAAATTCCGCATATAAGTGCTCATTTAAAAAATATTTATGCACAATTCAAACATCAAGCATAAAATAGGAAAGATATCTCCAAGAAAATACAGATTTAATTAATGCTCAAATCAAAACATAAAGAGGCAGAAACAAATATTTGCAGCAAGGAGACTAAATCCCAAAGTTAACATATTATATCAGACAAATATTAAGATTTTTTTTTCCGGAGACAAATGTGAATTCTCAATGGTAAAATAATGAATCAGAGGACCTTAAAATTGTAAGATTCAGAAAAAAAAAATAGAATTTTAAATTCATGAAGAAGTGAGATTCATACCATTCTCCCTCCATCCCCTTTTATAAGATCCAAATTTTTGAATCCCTCTGTTCATTTTTATAAGATTCGCTTCAGGGCTTTCCAAGATTTTTATCAATTATACCCCTAGTGAATTCTTCCCATACATTCCCTTTCATAATTTTCTTATTATAACTCTCTCTCTCTCTCATTTACCCGCTCATAAATGAAGGCATATTTGGAAAAAAAAAATATTTCCTACATATTTATCACTTTTAACTAGTTTTAACAATTTTTTTAAATCACGCAAGTCAATTATTTTGATCTTAGAATAAGGGATGGAGGAAGTATAAATTATCAAATGAAGATGCAAGCCAAGAGGTCTAGCTCAAGCATGAGGAAGCAATGAAGGAATGCACATCAACAGAAATTCAAACACATAGAAAAACTATATGTACAGATGATTTCATCATCTGAAGTCAACAACAAGTACAAAAATATAGAGAAGGGTGAAAGAAATGTTACCCTCAGGGAGTTCTAATTGATCAAAAGGAGTACAAAGGGTCTTAACTGCTCCCATCTCACCCCTTGTCCTTGCTTTCACATCAACTTCCACAGCCTAATAATGAATCAAAGATTTAAAACAGAAAAAAAGAGCAAACACTGTGAGTAAGGAAAAAAATATATATATACCAGACATAGGCAAAGAAGGGCCAGACATAACAACTTTACAAACAACTACATCCAGTCCTAAGCATAAGATATAGTTTTTCACCAAAAAAAGTGTATAAGATATAGTTTATTGTGTAATATAAATTATATTCTATAGTCGGGGCCGAAGACAGTATTACATATCAAATTGAACAAAGAAAGTCAAGAATTATTTTATTTTGGGACAAAACAAGTTGAGATTATATATAAAACAAGGCCATATTGAAAATGCAAATCTGGGAAAGATACATCATCAAGACATCTGAAGCCTTGAAACAAAAAAGTATAACTACTTTCACACGAGCCATACCTCCTCATCACACCAAGGAGCCAAGATCATTTTCCTTTGGCTCAAAGCTTCCACAAATTCATCCCAAGTATGCACAACCTTAATGCACGCGTCTCGTTTTTGTTTTGCAACATTGAATACGTTTTGTTGAATATTTTGCAGCAAGTCTTTCACTTGCTTCGCCAAATTATCCCGAGCTATGTCTACCTTTTCCCAATTATCACGTCGAACTGCCCTTACCTGTGCATGATCTGAAATTTGTTAATCATTGTTCATTGACAAACTGACCAACATAGAGGAAAAATTACATACTACGTCCAGTACTTAATATAAGATCTAGTTTGGGGTTAGATTTGGTCCTTAATGCAAGATTTTAATTCACTTTATCCCTGATATTTATCAATTTTTTTCAAACTAATTATATATACTAATGTTATGCTTCAGTATTTTAGAGGGTATTTGGATAAGATCAAAACTATAGTTTCAAAAGTGCTTTTATAACATACAAGGTAAATATGTGGAAGAGTTTGCCTCGATTTGCGGAAAAGTGCTTCTGAAAAGTGATTATTGGGGTACCCAAACACCCCCTTAGACAAATCATGTCATGTTTGTTATAAGTAACTAATCTATTTGACTTCATTAATTTGTTCAAATTAGTTAACTAACTTTTATATTAAAGATCAGAGGTAATATATAAGAATTTATGTATTAATAACTTAAGGTTGGTGACCTGGTTGTTTGCCAAATCCTTTGGCCCAATTTCAATCCTCAGAGGAACACCTTTCAATTCCCAGTGTGCATACTTCCAACCAGGAGAATAGTTATCTCTAGAGTCAAACTCAGCACGAATACCTGCTTCGCACAAAGCATTCGCAGTAGCATAACAAGCATCAAATATACCCTGAGTATCAGCATTTTTATAAGGCACTGGAATCACAATAACTTGAACAGATGCTACTTTTGGTGGCAGCACAAGGCCTTTGTCATCTCCATGTACCATCACCATCACCCCAATCTGTGAAAAAAACAACAGGAAAAATATAAAACACTTCCTGATCCATAGGAATTCGCAATATATGCGATTATAGGGATGAAAATCAAAGCTTACGGTTCGAGTACTATAGGCCCATGAGTTCTGCCAGGCGATTGCTTTCTCTCCCTTCTCATTCTCAAAGTTTATCTCAAACATCTTAGCAAAATTTTGGCCAAGGCAATGAGAGGTCGCGCCTTGAATACCGCGACCGGTGTCCGGAATAAATGCCTAGTAATTCCAATTTGTATAAAGAAGATTATATTTCACCATTTCAGTGTATTAGTCATCATCATGCAAGGAAGTGAGATGTGATGTATGTACCTCAACACTGGTTGTGTAGAGTGCACCAGCAAACTTCTCCAGTTCACTTTTCTTACCCTTGATCACAGGAACTGCCAAATATTCTTCATATATACGCCTATACAATTCCAGCACATCAAGTACCTGAAATAGGATCCATTAGTATATCATGAAAACATAAAGATTGAAGGATTATTAAAACAGACACTAACAAAAACCTTTGTAGCACAGTTCATGACATGTAATGAATGTAGTGACATGATGAAATCAATGACATATAATAAACGATGGGATATGCTTGATTAAATAGAAGAACAAGAACTAACAGTTTGAGGTTATAAGTGGGATTGAACTCGTGACCTCTCACTTATAAAGGAGTTTTTATGCCATTAGACTACAAGGCCATTTGCTAATTTGGTATATCTTTATCTCCATGTAAATACTCATTCGTTTAGTTAGCCATTATACCAAATCACTCATCTTCTAAATTTCACTCAATTCATATCAACATCATAAATGTGCCTTTTATGATGGACCTCTTGCAATCATTAACTTCCGTACAAATTGGTAATTAAAGCTCTATCAGTGCATATTAGAATTTGATCATTATTCTACTCGAGTCATCCAACTGTAGGATTCTCCATGAAAACATAGTTTTATCTGCACAAAGTCTTGCTCTAAATCAAGCACTGTGAAGAAAATATTATTTATTCATGTCTGGCTTTGCCTATACATAATTTCCAACCTGATCAACCATAAACCTGCTGCACTCATTTAATGGATTTACAATTTCTGAATTCAACGCTTAATACCATATGAACTGGTATTTTATTTGGCAGAATTACAAAGTTCATACCATATTCAAAATTCAAAGAAATTTAAAAAAAAAAAAAGGAAAGAAAACGTGGCCATGGAGATCCAGTTTCCGCTAAACTCGATATTATTATGGAAGATATGCAATTACACCTGAATTGCCCTCACAATAATCTCTGGGATATTATTGGCAGTGACCAAAAAGTACCCAAATGAAGAGAGAAGTATTTTAAAAACCACCAGACTTGTTTCTCCTTTACATAGTTGCATGCACAAAAAGTTCAATAGTTTATTATATTAATGCAGTTTTAAACATGATATCCGAGCAATAATATGTGATATCATATCTAACATCAAACCTCTGCATCTGCCTCCTCTTTTGTTGCAAAAACAGAATGCCCTTCCTGCCAGAGAAACTCACGGCTCCTGCAGTCAAAAGAAGTATGAAGACCAGTAAACACTATTAGACATTCTTCTTTTCCTATAAGAACCCAGAAAATTATATAAATCATGTTTAATTTATCACATTTCCAATTTCTTAAAAGCTTAATTGTTTTGCAAAAGGGCATCACTGTGACCAATTCACTACTTAAGAAACTTCCATTAAAACACAAAGGGATAAACAGATCTGATCACAAGGCACTGCAAAAGAATATTAAAAGGCTAGAGACTTGATATTCCAAAATGAGTCAACTTGTTAAGTTTGAAAGTGTGCATTAATTTTCACATTGAAACTTAAAAGCGCCACCTATCCAAACACATTGAGGCGTAATGGTAGCGAATTTTAGAAGAAGTAAGAGGAAGAAGAACAAAAGAGAAAAGGAAAAGGAGGAACTGGAATTATATTGGATAATTCTATAAATCAAAACATAAGAGAAAAGATTCATCACCACCCATATTTATAAGTCATGGGCAATCCTAATTTTACTTAAATATCTAATCCAAATCTTATCAGTATGATTAAATCCTATCTAAATCCTCCTAAAAATATAATAATATCTAAATCTTATTTAAATCTATTTAAAATCGAAATAAATCCTAGTAATTAATGAATCTTAACAAAATCTTATCTAAATCCATAATTACATATTACGTAACATGAAAAAAAGGACCAATGAAAGCTATCTAATACCTGATGAATGGCATGGGATTAGTGAACTCCCATCTAATAACGTTGGACCATTGATAATATTTCAAAGGCAAATCACGATGTCCCTTTATCTTGTCAGAGTAAGATGGATACATGACAGTTTCACTAGTTGGGCGAATAGCAATAGGGTTTTCTAAATCAGTATCCCCAGCCTTTGTAACCCAAGCAACCTGGAAACGGAAAAAATCCAAGACATTAATTAATATTATAACAATGATATTTCTAAACAAAAAGATTACCTTCTTCAAGGTAATCCAACTTCTGGACAATTATTATGACAAACTGTTACTAGCTAAAACGAAATCAATGAGTCAACAATCTGATTTAAAAATCCACAAAGTTTCCATTTTCACAAGCACATTAATAATCTACAAGACTATTAAACGACATTCCTTCAAATATAAAAATTACATTAAATAGACCTTGTAAATTGATCAAAATTTTAAATAAATAAATAAATAAATTTCACCTCTGGTGCAAAGCCTTCAATATGATCCTTCTCCTTTTGCAAATAGTAATAAGGCACAAGCAATGGGAAGTAGCAGCTCCCAACTTTCCTTTTTGTCATCTCCGCATCAAAAAAGTCCTGCACATTGATTTTTAGAAGTTTAAACAAAATATGAATTTGAGCAACCCAAGAATTTGGAAATCCTTTTTCGTGCTCAAGAAACCGTAGTTCCTTCAAAGGCTAAACCAATCTATGAGCTTCTCCAAACCATAAAAAGATGGTCTAGTACACAAGACTCTTACCAAGTGGAGTAAGAGAAAAGGCTATTTACAAGATTTGAACCCGTTGCCTCCGAGTCATAAGGAGGCAACATTACCATTGCTTGAGGACTTACCTTCGAGCTTCTCCAAACTATATAAACACTAAAATAAGGTGCAATAATGGACATGAAAGGAATTTATGAACTCACTTGCATTGACTTCCAGATTGACATTGTCCATGGAAAAAGAATGTAGCATCCAGATATGGGATAGTACTGAATCATATCCGCACGAACAACTAGCTGCCATGTTACATCAAAAGAAAATTAATTAGGAAAAGCCTGACAAATATCTAATCTTTGCACCCAAAAGCCAAAGTCAAACGACTAAAAACAATAGTGTGTTCCTTTTTACAAAAGTTCAGTTTTAGCTTCAGTCATCAAAACCTTGGACACATAATATTGTGATTGTCACAATCGGCTGTAAGCTCAACACACTTTTAAACCCAATAATAATAATAAACAAGCAACCAACAAGTGTTGGTCAAAGTGATAAGTAGCCTTGTCCATTATAACAAAATACAAGTTTGAATCTCAGAAAGCAAATTTATTAGAAGAGAAGATAACCCATTAAATAACGTTCCCCAAATCCATACTAGTAAATACATAGCCCATGAAGGCTAGGGTTTAGAAAAAACGCCAGGTATCAGGTGGTGGGCTCCCCTTTTACCCAAAAAATAAAAAATAAAAAGGCACATCAAGAAATACAATTGAAGATAATTTGTAGTAGGTACCTCAGAATACCACTCCCCAAAGTTGTCTACCTTTCGGATTGAAAGCCCTAACCCAGTCTCTTTCTTTACTTCCTTCTTCTTCACACCTGAAGCCAATAGCAGGAAACATAAATGGTTCACAATTAGATACTAAGATGTGTAAACAGGAAACACAAAATTAAAAGAGGTTCAAAAAGTAACCACCAGAAGTTTCTCCAATGGCTTTGTTAGCTTCAGCGGCAGCCATCCTGAGTCTCTGCCTAAAACAACAAACAATTGAACATAAATTTACCACACAGGCAAATACTTTTCCAGATAATTGAAATGAAATGCTACCAAAATCTCATTTACTAGAATGATATTAAAAGGTAGAATTAGTTAAGCATCTCAATTACCCCTCAACATTAATCCGCAACTTCTCATGTGTCTCTAATCTCATTTTTAGTTTTTTTTTCCCCCTTTTCTTGGGCTATTTTTGTCTTTTAGCCCTCCGGACTAAAACCCCCTTTTCCAATCTCCCTCCCTCTCACTGTCCACGTTGTATTTATCCACGTGCATATTGCATACTTTTTAATGCTATAACATGCGTGTGTTTGTATTAAAAATAAAAATAAAATAAAACATGACATGCGTGTGTGTATCTTATAATTATTATAAAATTAATAAGATAAAATGTTAAAATTTTCATTTTTCTACTTTATAGACGTTGTAAGATTTTGAAAACCGCATATTAATTAAAAATAATGCCGAAATATGTTGAGGTTGACAAAATTATCCTTTAAAATGTATATAAACACATTTTATTATATATTTTTTGACCGAACAAATTTTATTATATATTATATATAAGTGAGGTAAAAGGTCTTCTGAGATTCATACATTAGGAAATAATAATTTTAGCATGAATATTCAGTGAATCTAAATAACTGCTGGTAAAAAAAAATCTAAATAATTAAAAATATAATTAAGAATATATTTATTAATTTATAATCAGTTCCCCTCCCTCCAACCAAACAAAACACTGTTTTGCCGTCCCTCCACTCCCCTCTTTTTTTTTTTCCTTTTTTTTATTTGTTTAATACTAATGATCAAGTTACGAAGTGAACGTAACACAAGTAGCAGTTTTGAGAAACCCTAAACCTACTGATGAAAAAACCCTAAACCTACGATGATGAACCTGTTAAAACTGTTTGGATGGTTTATAAACAATTTTTTTAATCATAATAACGGAATACGGAATAAGTATATGAGGAATTTTATCTCAACTTACATATGAAACATGTTTATAAGTGTTTATGAGTGTAGTCTCTGAATTTGTTATACAAGCCAAACTCCTCTCCACCATTAAACCAAATGTAGCCTTCTTAGGATCATATAATCACACATCTCGAAGCCCTTATTCTATCCGGCACGTTTATTTCATATGATGGCTTCCCAATTATGGAAAGAAAGAAAGAATGAATTTGCTATATAACTCCAAAAGCCACCGTGGACGGCCATGAACACCCATCCCAACCCAAAAAACACATACATAGAAATCAGTCTAGGCTGCCATTGAACCCAAGCCAAGAACCAACAATATTTAAAAAAGAGATAAAAGATCTTCATTTCTTCTACACGTGAATCTCTAACATAGAATTACACAAATTCTAGGATTAATGGTCTAGGAAGAGAGATCGCCGGAGAGAGAGAAGAGGATGGATAGATATCGGAAAGAGACGCACCTGATCGGCGGCAGGGGAGAGAGATCGGCGGCAGCGGCAAGACGCAGGCAGCACGGATCGAGTACGAGAATGGGGAAAATTAAGGAAAATAACCCGAAATTAAATTATATGATATTTATGGAAGAAAATCTTAAATGTTATAATTATATGAATTTTAAAATATTAATACTGCAATCTCTTATGAGTTTTGCTTTGGACAATACTTATTTAACTTCATTATATGCTCTGTAATTTAATTTAATAGTATTTAATATTAATAAATTCTTATGCGTTTGCCTTCCTTAGTATGATTCTGTTTTAAATTAGGATTAATTTCAGAATATTCTATATGTTTTTCTTGATAATCATTAGATTTGATTTTGTTAGCAAATTTAGTTATCTGTATCTTTTCTTCTCAATTAACGAAACTATATTAAGTAATAAAGTTATTAAGAAAAAAAGTAAACACAGTATCCAATCACACACCAACACAACCAACCTTTTACCCAAGGAATGCGATGCTCGCCCAGGCGCTAACATAAAAAGGCAGGCGTGAGTGAGTAGCAATATGGGTAACAAAATCTCGGACACAAAATAAAATTTGACTTGTTTTTACTTAATCTAATTAAGAGTTTTTTTATTGAAAGAGAAGAGGGAAGAGATTTTCTTTATAAAATTATAAATATATTCAATTTTAATTAAAAAGATAATAACGTTATGGGTTTTTTTTTTTAACACACACTGATATCTTTCAAAATCTTTCTATTGAAGACAATTCTATCAAGGTCTTATCAGATACAAAATGTAAACACCCGTCTCAGTGGGTATTTGAAGATTGATTCTTCACATTACAGAGGACTAACCTCTTCTATTGAACTCAATTCTAATGAGCTTCTATTAGATTATGGAACCAGAACAAAATATTGAAGCCCAATGCAAATGAGAATAGAACAAACGGAAAAATGTGCTGGAACAAAACAATCATACAATGAAATATAAGATCCAATTACAAGTTCCAGGTCCAAAAAGAAAAGACAAGATCCAATTACAAGTTCGGAAGTTCCAGGTCCAAAAAAACAAACACAAGATCCAATTACAAGTTGAAACGCGATCATAAGTAAATTTCCAAAAAAAGGTAGTTGAATAGGTTTTTTTTTATTCTTTTGGAATTGGACACTGAAATATAAATTTGAAACAAATTACGTTTCCAATTTTCTCAAGGAATATTGAAAAATTTGTTTAGCTAACACGTAAATATAGAAATTTCATAGTCACCTTCCAAAATATGGCACACACGTGAATAATTTATAAGAAAAAAAAATCAATTTTTGATACTGAAAATTAAATTGAAAATATCTAGTTGATACATATGGATCTTGAAATTTCACAAGCCTTAGCTTCCAAAATTTGACGTTGATATATGAAGAATTTACAACTGGCGTTCCAAATTCTAATACAGAATTGCTCAACTTTATCCACGTTTTGCAGAGGAAGCAACCCTTTTTTCACTTTGAATTGGTCAAAATACACCAAATTTTTAACTTTTCGTGGAGGACTAGATCCAGTAACTGGTGGTAACTAAGGAACAAGAACATAGTTAACACATTTAATACTCATCTTTTGCAATTTATGGCTATTTATATACTCCTCTGATCCTCAATATAAGATTCATTTAACTAATTTGATTAGATTAAAAAAGTTAGATAAGTTAGTTAATTATAAAAAATGTGACATATTTTTCTTAAAACACCATAATCATTTTTCTTAATACCCCTCTCCCTCTTCTATTTGATTATAGTTGAGGGAGTATCCATAGAGTGAATTTAGAGAAAATTGATAAATATAATAAATGAATCTTATATTTAGGATCAAAACTAACTCAACAAGTAGATTCTATATTAAAGATCGGACGAGTAATATTTTGCAACTAATTTTCCGACCATTAGGATGCCGCTTGGCATGGAGAAATTTAAGCTGAAGTAGACTTCTGAAAAAAGAAATCTGCTTCCACGTAATTCAAATAATAAGACTCCTCAAAAAGTTGGAAGCCCACCGTCCCATGGAATTTGGGAAGCACATTCCATGTTGATTAAAAAAAAAGTGAGCATGATGGACCATCAAATGGATTCTGAATGGTCCGTATTTAATTTATTTTTTATATGTTTTAAGTAATTTTTGTTTTAACAAATTTAGAATCTAAAAAAAGTATAATTAATCTTATAACTAACACTTCTTTAAAAAAAAATTTATTATTGAAAGAATTATTTATTAAAAATTTTAAATTTAAACCATTTATAACATATTTTAAATTATCTAAATTGCATTATAACAATGAGCATATGGTGATCATTATTGTGGTAAGTACCGATTGTGTAAAAGGAAAATTAGAAGCGAAGGGCTTAGTGGGAATGAAATTTATTGAAGAGGATTATAAAAATTGGAATTATTCAGAAATATCTAATATTAAAATATTAATACTAAGTTTCTAACAGTCAACCCTCCTACATTCCCTTTTACATTCAGAATTTGGGGGGGAAAAGGTCCTATTTAGTTCCTTGCTTCTATTGCTCCATACCAGCGTACGTGTAGAAGTAAAATTCAAATGTTAAAACGGAAGATTACAATTATGTATTTCTCATATCCTATTTATAAATCACTTCTAATATCTTTCACACAAACTAAGAAAAATCTTAGATTTCATGAATTCTAATTTAAAGTTTAATAACTTTTCAACTTTATCCCTATTTAATATACATTATACATTATCTAAACATAGTTAACATGCAATAATTAATAAAAGATAAAATTGTACATCTATACAAAAAAAAAATTTCAGTACCCTATAAATAAGATAAAAAAATATCTTCTCTTTCTGCTTTATAAATAGAACCAGAGGAATATTATAGGAATAAAATGGATCATAAGGAGACTGTGAATATGAATAATAGCATAAATACATGATAATACCATATTGTTGATATTAATGTAGCACGATGATAATTAATACATTATTGATCCAAAGATTGAGAAATATTTAAAATAAGGTCATGCTTGATGCTTCCAGCATGAGGCTAAATAATAGAGTAAAATATACTAACTACCCATCTATTTTATTTAAATTACAGAAGCCTCCCTTCTATTTTGAAAACATATACAAACTTTTTTTCAAATTAAAATGTATATTATACAAATCTTTTTTATATTTTTAAGATTCAATTTCCATCTATTCAACCGTTAGTTGACCGTTAAGTTTAACTTTTAAATTTTTATTTTAACCAAAATATCCCTCTTTAACATAAATGTTATTTAAATATTTATATCTATAAAAAAATAATTTTTGATACAACAAAAAATAATTATAATACAAGTATTTTTAAAATTTTTAATATGTTATAAAATTTTAATTTCAATTATATTATAGAATTATATAATTTTAGTTCCTCACGAAATATTGAAACTTAAGATTTTTTTTAAATGGCTAAAAAATATTTTGAACGCTTATTTTCTTATCACATAATGTAAATTATGCCATTTTGGAAATTTATATAAATAATCTAACTTTATGTTTGCATTAACTAAATTACTTAATTTTTTGGCCCAATACAATAAAAATATTAAACAAACAACAATTTTCAAAAATAAAAAAAATAAAATTAAGATAAGGGGAAAAATCTTAAATTCTTTGATATAGTTTTAACTAATTAAGATAAGGGGAAAAATTTTAAATTCTTTGAAGGTCTGTGTAATTAATTAAGACAAAAATACAAGAGAGATAAGAGTATTTTACTCTAAATAATAAGATGTATTCATAACCACTTTTTTTTCTCTATGCATAAGTATCCTCCTATTAGAAACAATCTCATTTGAGGTATTGTTGGGCATTAATGTTGATACTTTTCCCAATAAAAATTTAAATCTTAGTTTATCACATTGTGAGAAATTACTCTCTTCCACTAGACCCAACCTCATTAATATTCATAAGCACTTTTTTAAGGAAAAATAATATTTATATGCATCTTAAATTGAATAAAACTAAATTTTAATAAACAAATATTCAAATTGAATAATTGCATAACTATTAATAGATTTAATATCATAAAAATTATTCAAATTGTATAAAAATAATAATTTTTGTAATAACAAAACAAATCGTAATTAATATATTAGCAACAAAATATTACTCCTCCTGTCCTTATTATAAGACCCTATTTGACTTTTTATTTGGTCCTAATTATAAGACCTCAATCCATTTTGTCTCTTATATTTATGCATTTTTTTCCAAGATAATCCTTTTAATAATGATAGTTTTAGCCAATATACTTAATTAGCAAGGATATTTTAGGAATGACAACACTTATTTATTATAAATAACCAACTTAACTTACTTCCTTAATCTCCTCAAATAAGTCAATTGGATCTTATAATTAGAATCGGAGAAGTAATATATAAATGTGGAAGAGAATAAACAAAGAAATATCGAATGATGTTTTAGTAATTGTAAAATTCTTGGAAATGTGATTCGAGGGAACATAGAAGGTTTGGTTAGGAATAATTGAGTACTTACATATTTATATGTTGATTTTTAGTCCTTGTAAATAATAATAATTTTTAATAAATTTTCACTAGATCAGGTATCAATTTTTTCTCTAAGTCCATGGCTTTACTTTTTCCTGATCTAAAGTTATTAATAGGCTTACAGGCTAGAGTTGATGGTGATCAAAATTAATTTAAGCGATTCATAAGTAATAACTTAAATCAACATATACGCCATTCAAAACATTTCATGTAGTAATTTTTTATTGTTAGTTATGAACATTTTTATTTTATATCTAAAATAGTACTCCTGAGGTCTCATATATTATTTATATATATACATAACCAAAAATCAACTAACTCATGCTAATTAACAAAAGTTATTAAAAATAGTTATTCATAATATTTTTGCTATAAATTATTTTTCTTATTTAAAAAATCTTGGTAATATAATGTTTACACCAATGTTTTAAAAGCTGGACCGAACATTGAACTGGAGAAACTAACACGTCACGGTTCAATCGGTCGGACCATTCGGTCAGATCGTTAATATAATAATTAAATTTCGGACCGTTCGGTCAGATCGTTAATATAATAATTAAATTAAAAATAATATTTTATATCTATATAATGATATAGGTGTAAAAAAAATATCAACTCGTTAAAAATTTAAAAAAATAAATTGTCTAAATACATATACACATTTAAATTATGTTAGTCATTTACATTTTGGCAAAAAATCGTTTCATATAAAAATATTTAAATAAATTTCATACAACAGTAAAATAAAAATATAAAAAGGAAATGAAAAAAAGAATAAAAATCGTTTCATATAAATTTTGAATAAATTAATTTATAGCCAAAAAAAAAACACACACGCGCGCACACAACGGAATATGAACATGCCTGTAAAAGTCTTTCTGTAAACTGGAATGGAAAAACGTGAGATTTCATATTAATATGATCGTGTGATATACCTAAAAGACCTACTTATTTCCGCTCCCGAGGTGCATTTATGTGATCTTACTATTCGCAGAGCACGTTTCGTCAAATCTGTGTGCAACTCACCCCTTTACCCGTTGGACAGTGCCTCATATGCTTGTATCCATCAATCCTATTTCATTTTAACAATTTCAAAACTCTCCCCACACCAGTTCCAGTGACCTTCAGGATTCATTCGGGTTCTTCTTCTCAGTTAGATCAAGTTTATCTCCTTCTTCTTTTAGTTTTTCTTTCGTTTCTTTTCTTTTTGTTACTTCTTTCTTCCTTCTACCATTTCCTCTTTTCCCTTCTGCGGTCTATCAGTTTTCTTCCTTCCCATTTCATCTCACTTTCGATCGACAATGTTAGACCCACTCCAACTCTAACCTGGCCGGCTTTTAAAAATCTGTTCCGGTTCGTGACCCAAATCTGGCTTCCGGCTCAAAAGCCGGTTCAAGACGGCTCAATCTGGTCTAATCTCTCAAATGGTTTGAGCGGCAAAAATGAGCCATTGATGTTTCCGGCTGATGGTTTGACTGGTCCGACCGTCTGGTCTGGTCTGGTCCGGGTTTTAAACCATTAGTTTACACATTTAATTATACTTATTCACAGCTTATGCCTGATATTAAATGAAAAGTACAGTAATTAAGAATGTCTATAATATAATACATGGTAAAGGGTATTTGTTTTTCTTATATTTGAGACCAAAAAAACCCCTTCAAAATTTGCTCATATATGAGAACCGAGGGAATAATCATTCAAAACAAAAAAATTCCTAGCTTTTTGTTTTTAAATATTAATCAATTGAATATATATATATATGCATAATTATGCAAATATATTTCTTGTACTAACCCTTAAATTCAAAATTGTTTCATATCCAATATATTATATCACATCCTATTAAGACAAAACTTAAATAACTTACTTAGGTCTGTTAGATTTAAGTAGCTTATATAGGTTCTGCCTCCTATGTTAGTTTGACACATTACGACTAAACCCCATTATAACTCTTGGAGAAATAAATGAAGAACATCCCGAACCACAACATAATGGAATTGAACGAATCAAATTACAAAATAATATATAGTACTTCTTTGATTTCATTTATAAGGTACTTTTAATATATTTCCCACAAACTGAAGAAAACCTTAAACATTATTAACTCTTATTTAAAATATAACAACTTTCTAACTTTATCCTTATTTAAAAGATACAGCACTGCTAGAAAAAAAGCTTTTAACTGCGGTTAATTAAGGTTTTTTGTGACGGTTTTGGAGAGGAAGTGGATACTGTTGACATTGAAAAGAGAATACCGTGGAAAGTTTAATTTCCAATGTCAAGAGGAAAAGGCTGGAGGACAGGATTTGCACTCCTTCTTGCCTTCTTGACTGTTGCCTTCTTCGATGGTACAGGCCTTCCAACAAGTCTCCTTGGCCACAAGATGAAATTTTCTTTAGCCTAAACCAGTAGTCGAACCTCATCAGTAGGGTTGGGCACCGGTGCATCACCTTGACCATTACGGATCTTATCCATAGTCACCCTCACTTGATTCTATGGAACTTTCCTACTGTGGATTGTTGTGCCCAGAAATGCTCGACCATTAGCGACATGAAGAGTTAAATCTTCAAAGTCCACATACAGAGCACAAGGCATTCCATTGTCTTGGATAGGGTCAGGGCTAGGGTCAGGGTCAGACAATGTTACCTGTTGCGTCTGATTATTACTATCCTTCCCACTTTTCATCATAGATGAACCCTGAAACATAAAAAGAAATCACTTAAGGCACATTAAACAAGTTTAAATGGATGAAATGAACCAGAAGATTTGAGAAGATGTGTGATTATTACCTATGATGGTTCAGACACTCAAGGCATCTGGAATCCGGTTGTAACCATCATCATCATAGCCTGTTGAAACTTGGCATCGAACTCCTCATGCATCTTTTGCATCTTTGCCTTGTGTTCTTGACTGAGTCCAGCTCAAACTCTCTCTGTTTCTTCCTGTAATCGCTAGTCGAGTTCCTCCTTAGATACCATCTTAGCAGAGGATGATCTAGTGCTTCTTTGTGAACTAGGGCCAAAGAACTGTTTAATTCCAATCCTTTTAAGGGCTCCTCTGACTTTGCTGGGATGGTCGGCCTTTCTAATGGCAATGACTAAGATATCCATCCGTCCATTAGGAATGAATGTACCTTGGGATAATTACTCATCAAGTGTATCGTGTAACATTAAAGCAACAAATTCAATTTAAGATAATTGAAAAATGTAATTAATAAAGCATAATGCATAAATATTACTGACAACTTCTCAACAATAGCAGCAGACTCTGGAGTGATATATTGACCCCTTTTAACCCTCGCGGCCTTCCATTTTTCTTGGTGAGAAGGATGCTCAATGGGTGGAGTGTAGCTAGTAGGATCTAAAGCAGCAGCCACCTATGCATTCTTTTTCCGCTCTTTCATCATACTTCTTTCCAGCCCACCGTATCCTGCATGAGACATGGTATTTGGGTACATATTCTGCCCACATATTTGCTTGTTCTTCCTACTCAGTGCCTATGACAATGAAACCAATTCAACAAAGTTAGTTTAGTTAAATGAAATATAAATTGACTAAAACCAAGTTTGAAGAAACCAAACCTGAAATGCAGGGTCTTGACTTTACTTCATAAACCTCTCCCATGCCTCGTCACTAACAAAAGAGTATCAATCCTTAGGATGCTCACCCTTTCTTTTTTCACAAAGATACTCTCTTGTAAGCATGGATTTAAAATCCCTCCACCGTTCATCGAGTTGCTTAAACAAACAGCCTCTCATTTCCTCAGTCGCGGGAATATCAAATGTCAACTGCAATACAATACAATAGAGTTATAAGTAAATAATCAATTATAATTGAAACAAATAGAGAAAAGAATTTGTAATATGAGAAAATATCCTCCTAAGTGGTTTTCTTCAAATCTTTGTCTACCATCCTCTAATTAGGAATGTCAATCTCAATCTTACTGTGTGTGATATAACCCACATAACTAGTAAATTGTGCCTCTTTAGGACTTGCAGCTTTCAAATCATTATCAAACTCTACTGTAATCCTCATGGGCTATGTGGTTTTATCATGTAAAGCTAAATGCCTCATACAGGTTGGCCCTCTATCTTGCTAGTAAAGGAACTGTCGTTGCCAAAACCTTGTTGACTGGATCTGTCCATTTCCTATTCAAAGAACAATCAATAAATGTAAGAATAAAAAAAATCAAGTGAAGTTAACATAAAACATCAATTATACTTAACAAAAAACATCACATTATGAATGAATGATAAATATGAAATGAATTTAAGAAGAAACATCAAATAATTTATTTAGGCCTTACAATGATTATCCTCCTAAATTCCTTCATAATGACCATCTCTAATAGCATAATCATCATCTACCAAATCTAATTCAACTATTTTAGGTTGAGTAGTTGTGAAAGGCGGGGTTTCATCAAGATTAACTCTGAGTCACTGTCATCTCCAGCAAGTCCTTGCCTCTTACCTTGTAGCACGATAGATAATTTCTTTTTTGCTAGATCAGTAACATAAAACACTTGTTTCAGTTGACTTTCTAAAATAAATAGCTCATCTCTATATCCAACCCTCTCAAGATTGACTGAAACAAATCCAAATTCTTCATCTACTTACACAGATTACTATTAACCCACTTACATTTAAAGATAAGAACTTTAAACTTAGTATAGTTAACCTCCCATATCTCTTTTATTAATCCATAATAGGACATTGATGCCAATGTTGGATTTTTATCTTTTGAAATAGCAAAATGTATAGCTTCAGCTACTACTATAACCCAACTATTCTGCATGGTACTCTTATCGTCTTAGGTTTTTGTGTAAAATGAATAACCATTTATGTTATATCCACCCCAACACACAACCTCAAAACAAGGCCCTGCAGATAGCCTCTATATTGTCTCAGAAGGATTGTCATCCTTTAACATTTTTTATTTGAACCACTCTACAAATTACTTGTTATGCTCATTAGCTAGTTGCATATCGTTCTTTTTTGTATTCAAGTTCTTTAGCATATTCTTGTGAGCATCTAAGTAAGACAAAATTTCATTTGTGTTGTTTAAAATATATAGATATGCCAACATTATAATTTCTCTTGACATAGACCTCTCACTATGGCATTTCGTGTTTCTTTGCTTCTCCCCTAATCATGTCGAAATTAAGGAAGTCCAACTGCCTTTGTCATATCAAGATATACATTACAAAACTTAACTGCCTCCTCAGCTACATATTTATCAACAATTGATGTCTTAGGCCGATAAGGATTCTTAGAGTACTTTTTTAGGATTTTCATGTATCTTTCAAATGGGTACATCCAACTTAAACACACACGGTTACAAAATCTTATCTCTCACACAAGATGACCTATCAAGTGGACCATATATCAAAAAATGATGGAAGAAAGTGTATTTCCACTTGGGAGAGGATCACATAACCTTCATTTTCTAATTCATCTAACTCAACAAGATTAATGACTTTGCTGCAAATAGCATTGAAAAACATACAAAATCTTATAATAGTGCTTCTCACATCATTTTTCATGATGCCTCGAATAGCAATGAGAAATAATTGCTGCATCAACACGTGACAATCATGAGACTTCATCACCGTTATCTTCAAGTCTTGCATTGAAACAAGTTTTCTCAAATTAGAAGAATAACCTTATGGCACTTTAATGCTATTAACAAAACCACAGAAACTTGTTTTCTTTTCCTTTGATAATATGTGCACAGCTGGATATAAATAAGCCTTCTTACCCTCTCTTTCTTGTGGGTCGAGGAGTTTTCTTATTCTAATTTTAACTAAGTCCCATCTTGTATTGATTCCATCCTTAGTCTTTCCACTTATATATAAAAGTGTACCAACAAAGATCTCACACACATTCTTCTCTACATGCATCACATCTAAACTATGCCTTACATCAAGACTTTGCCAATATGGAAGATAAAAAAAAAAGATCTTTTTTTCATATATTCCTCTTACTAGCAGTCTTCTTCTTCTTTTTACCAAAGACCATATTAATTCTCTTTGCCTGTTGATAAACTTCTTCTCCAAATAATGGTATTTGAGCCATTTGTTATTCTTGTAAGTCGTTAAATGCCTTCTTTAACCTACAGTAAGAGTGGTGTCGACAAAGAAACCTTCTGTGATCAATGTAGACCATTTTCCTTCCACGTTTAAGTTCCATGTAATGAGTGCCTCCTTCACATGTTAGACATGCTTTATGCCCCTTAACACTATATCCTGATAAATTTTCATATGCTGAAAAGTCACTTATCATGGTGAAAATCATGGCACGTAAATTGAAGGTTTCTTATTTATATACATCGAATGCATCAACACCTTACTCCCATAATTTCTTCAGGTCCTCAATCAAAGGTGCCAAATACACATCGATATCATTTTCTAGTTGTTTTGGTCCTAAGATCATCAAAGATAGCATGATATACTTTCTTTTCATACATAAGCAAGGAGGCAAGTTGTAAATTACGAGGAGCACCAACCAAGCACTGTGTGTGCTACTAAGATTACCATATGGATTAATTCCGTCCGAATGAAGCCCTAGTCGAAGGTTTCTTAGCACACAACCGAATTGAAGAAATTTTTGATTTATTGTTTTCCATTGAGGAGAATCTGTTAGGTGACGAAGTTTTTCATCACATATTTTCTCATTGGAATTCCATCTCAAGTTCTTTGCTTATATGGCATTAGCAAATAAATGCTTAAATCGTGGTATTATTAGAAGATACCACAAAACCTTCAAAGGAGGACCTTTGGTTATCTCATTGGAATCACCATCGTCTTTTTTAACTTTATGTCTTGAAGTCCCACATTTAGGGTACTTATTCAACCATTCATACTCATTTCTAAACAATATACAATCATTAGAGTACGCATGTATCTTCTCATATTCCAAACCTATCAAACACAAAATTTTCTTTACCTTATATATTTGTTTTGAAAGTGAATTCCCTTTAAGCAATTCCATGAAACTAGCATCGGTCAAACCATTTCTTGCCTTCAAGTTCATCAATTTCAACATGATTGTCAATATTGTGTAATCATCTTTACACCCTGGGTGTAAAGGCGTCTCTACATCACTACACAAGGTTTCACATATGCGAGAGAACTGTGTAGAGTACTCAGACCGTATGTCATGAAACATATCAGAAATTCTATCACCAAAGTCTTCATTCACAACCTTCTCCTTTTCAGGTAGTATAGTCTTTCTAATTTCACCATACCATATCCAATTTGTATACCTCAAATTTATCTCATCACAAATAAGATGCTCTCTTATTTTAGAAATACTCCGCTAACTATTGTTTAAGCATTTGACACAAGGATAGTAATATAATCCATCTCTTATACTAGGGGTATTTCTCTGAGCAAACTGAAGAAACCTTTCATTCTCATCCTCATATTCTTTACTAATTCTCTTAGCTTTCATTCAACTACG